GAAGACATAATGAGAGCGGTGACAATAGATACAAAGATCGGAAGAGAAATTCTATTGGCTCAAGGAGGAGAAAACTGGCTTTACGACAAAGTTATGGATAAATATCCCCGATTTACAAAAGGGTGCCCAGTGTATTTCACGGACGGATCAAGAATTGAAATAGAAAATAATTCATTTATAAACGGGTATGCAGTCGTTAAGAAACATTTAGGTCAGAGAGGTAGATCTGAGCATAGGGCAGACAGAGCGGATGGTAGAGCGGCAATAGCATCAGTAGAAGCGGAAGCCATAACTGAGGCAATCAAATGGTCTCGGGAAAGAGAAGAAAATCAATTCATAATCTTCACCGACTCAGAAGCGATCCTAAGAGGAGTAAAGAAGGGATGGTCAGGTGACAATCCCTCCCCAACTAGTAATGCGTGGATATCTTGTATTTTAGAGAATTTGACCGATTTGAAGAACTCAGGGAAGAAAATAGCCTTGATATGGATACCGGCACATAAGGGTATCGCAGGAAACAAAGAAGCAGACAAATTGGCAAAGGAAGCAGCGGGAATCCAGGATACTCTGAATCAAAACCCAAAAAAAATCGCTCCGGAAGACCTGATCAGGACAAGTAGAATCCAGATTTGGAACAATTGGGGCTCACATTTAAGAGAAATAGGAAATCAAAAGGGAAATTATTATTTTGTTAACTTCTGCGATAGGGAAAAAGGCAAAAGAAAAATTAACAAAGTTTGGTTTGAAAGCAAAGGAGTCATGAGTAGAAAGATGGTAGTTTTTTTTCTCTAGAATAAGATCTAATCATAACCATCTGAAGGAGTCTCGTTTCAGGAAGAATTTAGTTGACAGTCCAGAGTGTGATTGTGGATACGGGATAGAAAACATTGACCACGTTTGGGGGGAATGCACTCTTTATAATTTAGAAAGAACTGAGCTATGCAACAAGTTAGGATGGTCTGTGGACGAAATGCCTCCGATCGAAGAACTAATAGTAAATAGTTCAGTAAAGGAATTGAGAATAATATACGTATTTTTTCAAAAGGCAGGCATTAATATTTAGCCGCCAACAATCGAGTAATATGAGGAGACGGTATTACTGGGATATATGTAGAATTACATTTCTGCTCGTCCCTCTTGATAGTAGGGTATTATTAATACCATAGGAATCTAAAGCAGGGTTAGTATTAAGCAATTAACGGTAAGATCGAAGAATTACAATGATTATATTATACTTAACGCAGGAAAGACTGTATATTCAGCTTGAATATACTGCAGTATTGTTTTGCAAAGTGCAAATTAGGGTTAATATTACTACTAACTGATAAGACTGAAGTTCACTGTGATAGTATACTATAGTTGGAAAAGAAGTCATATTAGTGAGACAAATCAGGGTCATATTATATTTTATACTTCGGATTTTGTATGGTACTATATTTTGTATTCCATAGTTTAAAGAATGGATAAAGGTTATGATACTAGAATAAGTATGAGTGACCAGAGAGGAAGGTGTACAATGTAAAGCACAATTTGCGGAAAGAGTGTGAGAAGTAAAAGAGAGAGGGAGAGCGAAAGTGTAGTCTCGTTTATACGAGCCTCTATAGTTTCACCGTAGTGGGGCGCTCGCCCCCCTATCCTTACCATACTGTGATATATACACCAAAGTATATATATTTCTACACAGTATCTATTTAATATGTACAAAATCAGTTTATTAGTGTACAGAGCGTAAATAGGCTATACGGACTTGTTCCAGGAGCCTTCCGATTCTGGGTATTGTCCAGTCGGAAAATCGGTTTAATAAA